GCGGGACCGCTTTGCTCCCGGTGCCCCTGGTTTGCTGGAGACGGTCCCCAGCAGAGCAGGGGCACCGGGAGCAGCTTTTCTCGCCCCGGAGGTCAAGGTGGCTGACCGCTGCCTGTGAGCTCCGGGGCGAGAAAGCCCCGTTCGTATGTGCGGATCCAACATAAGTTGGATCCGCGTAAGTCGGGGACTGCCTGTATATAAAAGGGGGACCACAAGGCCCTAGCTCAGAGCTCTCCAAACTAGAGTCAGTAAACAAAGTCCCTGGGCCCAGTCCGGCTAGTGTCCTGGAGCAGGAGGGAGACCATCATTTTCTTTTTCTGTTTAAATAACCCAGATCAAAGGTCCAGCAACTGAGTTTTACTAAAGTGATACCAAAAGCAATAGGACTTGACACTTACACCTTTTTTGCAGTTTCACAGGCCAATTTTTCTTTCCTACATCTCAGCTGATGCAGCAGGAAATCTATTGGAGTTCCTGAGTCATGGGCTGAAAAACTGAAAGTGTGTTCTCAGATGACATTTTTTGATTCTCCTCTCTTGTTCTAAGAGCTGCATTTTACATATAGCAAACTACCCTCTATCTCCTTCCTTATGCAGCCCCAGAATAAGTCATAACTAGAAATCCCCATTCCAGAAAAATAACTGAAACCAGTCAAAGATAACTCCAAGCATTGTTATACAGCTTAGCCTATGCTATTCTCAGCTTCCTGACTCACTGACTCCTATGCAAACATTCTAGAATCTAAAAACACGTGGTGGACAGTACCACATAAAGATCCTATAACCAGGAGCAATCTCTTTCAAACACCCTTTGATGGCACCTTACTGTTTGGAACATCTCTAGACAAAGCTTTAAATAACTTCTTCGATCTCATCAAAATATTCTCTCCACATGCATCATCCAGAGAGTCAAGAAGGAAGCACAGACCCACATCAAAACAAACAAAATTAGTGTACAAAACTAAATGCTTTTTCTTAGTAGATTTTTAAATTTTGAGATAGAAATATTCCTCAACTAAAAGCCCTATGTGCACTCTTTTTTCCCCCTTTATATGCATCTCTGAATATATAGCTGATTTAGTATTTGATTTCTTCCTTCCTTCTTAGGCAATGTTTGCGCAATCCTTGCTACTGATCTCCTCATGTGCTAAACAATTTAGTTTGAATATATATGTTATTATTTAATATAATGTAGATGAGATCTAACCCTTCTTCAGGCTTCCTTATTCCAATTATATAGGATGTTGAGTACACCAATACATTCTCTGGCCTCCTACCTGAGTCATTGTCACAATCACTTAAACGTTAGCCCATGTAAGACCAGAATGAAGAATTTTGCATAGACAATGCAGAAATTGAATTACATTGCTCATGTATGAGAGGCAGCAACATGGGGCGGCAGACAGGAGCTGGTCTATATGGGGAGCTGATTTTTTTAAACCCGATACAGAAGCAGCAGTGCAGCATGGCAGAGAGCTCCCCAAGAATAGGGCTGGGAGTTGGGAGCACAGTGGCTCCTGCCCCTGCCCCTGCCCCCAGGGAACATTTTAGTAACCACATAACTGCTAAAAATTGTTGCTGCTACACGATTACTAAAATAGCTGATATCTAACATCACTATCACAAATCCATACTGACTGTTACTTGTCACCTTATTATCTTCCAGGTGTTTGCATATGAATTCCTTAATTATTTGCTCCATTATCTTTCCTGGCACAGAAGTTAAGTTGACTGATCTATAGTTTCCTGGGTTGTTCTTATTTCCCTTTTTATAAATGGGCACTATATTTGCCCTTTTCCAGACTTCTGGAATCTCTCCTGTCTTCTATGTCTTTTTAAAGATAATAGCTAAAGGCTCAGATATCTCCTCAATCAGCTCCTTGAGTATTCTAGGATGCATTTCATCATGCCCTGGTGTCTTGAAGACATTTAACTTCTAAGTAATGTTTAACTTGTTCTACTCTTATTTTAACTTCTGAACCTACCTCCTTGTCTCCAACGTTCATGGTTGTGGGCAGCCAATCACCACCAACCTTCTTGATGAAAACCAAATCATGTGCTTCTAGTTACATTTTCATCAACATACAAGAAGGAACGCACTCAAATGAACACACTTAAAGTGAATAAATTATTTTACATAATGCATCATAAAACTGGGGAACTAATGGCAATGGTGTCTTATGGAGGCAAAAAAGATTAGACATTGCCCCTGGATAAGAACACCTACAATTATTATAAGGCTAAAAGTATATGAAGGATGTAAACTCTTGTGCTTCACGACACAAGCCAACTTTTAACTATGTGGTTGGAGGAGGGAGCAAAGGGGACAATTACCCTGGGTCCTCGAAATTCAGAGGGGTCCAGAGCTCGCCGCTACTGCAATAGCAGCTGGATCACCACTGCACATGGCCCTGAGGCTGTGGAGGGATCTGCTGTGATCTGAGAGGAGCTAGGGGTTGACTGCCCTGGGTTCCACCCCTTTCACCCTCAGCTCCGCCCCTTCCAGGGATGCAGCACCACCCTTGCCATACCTTTCCCTGGAACCCACAGTGGCTGTCAGCCCTGCTGCCTCTGAGCTAGCAGAGGCAATGTTTGAGATAGGGTATTATGTCAGTCGGTTGTACCCACAAAAGTTCATGATACCAGACTATTTGTTGTTTTTTAAGTATTTCCTGTTACAGACTAACTCAGCTACCCCACTGAAGCTTTTAAACTTTTAAGTTAGTTCACCAAAACTGGTATTTTTCAATTACCTAGATCTTGCTTTGCATTTCTGACTCTATAGTTCGTTCTAATTATGTGGTGATTTTTCTGTTGTTTTATTACTGCTTCAGTCTTTAATATACACACCTGTGAGCAGTGGCTTTATGGTTTTATATTGGGTTTTGAAGTTCCCTTCACTCATGGATTTCATCTCTAAATTCTAAATAATTTCCTCCCTCCTCACTTCAGATGTTTTTAATCCCATCTGTGTGTCTCTCCCTCACTATTCCCTAGCTTGAAAGTATTTTTTGTTTTTGGACTTTTAAAGTATGGAAAACTAGCAGAAGGCTCTTTCCACTGTCCTGTTGCTCAAACTTCTATAGGTTGATTGATTGGTTGTTAATACCCAAGTGTGACAAACAAAAAAACCCCTCAAGTTAGAGGCTGCTATATGGTACATTTGTTAAATCACATTGCAAGCAAGAATTTCTCCCTCCCCCCGCACACACACGTACCGTCCATTCCAGACTTCTTTTAAATCATGGTCACAATTACAAAAATAATAAATAACACGGACTTCAAACTGAACCAATACTTTAGGCCTCTGTGTGCTGACATGGCAGTGATACAAGACACCAAAAAATAATGCTGCTATTTTCTCTCTGCAGTTTGACTATGAAGTTAAATGTTTGACTGTGAGAACCAAAAGTTAATTGGTATGCTATCACTTTTTGACTCCATTGGATGTGCTAAAATTGACTCCTAGAACACCTTCCCCATATATAGTAAGGAGTTTCCACAACTCTAGAGGCACTTCATGTAAATCACAGCATGACTTGTAAAAGCTAATATTGAAACTATTGTATTCTGTATTCTAAACAGGTTATGAAGTTCATGGTATAGAAAAAATACCGGAAGGACCGGGGCTTATTGTGTTTTATCATGGAGCCAGTGCTGTAGACTACCACTTCTTTGTCTGTAATTTCTATATACAGACAAAAAGAGTCTGCTATTCAGTAGTTCATAACACCTTGCCCTCGATACCAGGTAAAATACTTCTATTGTAAATGAGACGTACACTGGTCCATAGTGATAATACTAGAGATAAGTACCTTATTACATACATTAGGACTCGAAACAAAATGCTTACCAAGTCCATACCAATGGGAGCTGGAGGAAGCGGTGTCTTGTTCCGTGCTGCTTACCGTAGCTCCCATTGATTAGCAATGGTGATCCATGGCCAACGACAGGACACTGCAGACACTCAGGTAAATAAAGAGTCTAACAGCCTGCCAGGGGCTAATACTGGTGAACTGCAGACCACTTATTGCCCACCCCTGGTTTATAGATAGTGTTAGAAGTCTGCTTGGGCATCATTTTAAAGCCAAACCCAGATCCAAGCCTGATGCTGGCACAGCCAACCTGAATGCAACCTGAAAGTGTCACATTGTTTTCAAACTCAATCTGGATGTGATGCTTCCCCCTGAACCTGTGTCAGTGCCACCACCACCGCCTTATCCTAGGGTCTCAGCCTTATGGTGATCATTGCACTCCCGCACGCCCATCTGTGATCAGTCTCCAGCCTCCTCCTCCTGCTTGTGGAGTTGTGCAGCAGAGGCAGCATGCCTCATTCCCACTGGCCACCACAACCTCGCTGTTCAGTGTGTGCAGCCATTTGGCAGCATGCTCACTCTACAGCACACTAAGACCAGTGAGGTGGTGGCAGCTGGCAGGAGTAGGGCTCACAAAAGAATAAATGGACATAAAGCAAACATCAAGTTTGGTGACACAAAAACCAGTAGGAGAACACTTCAATCTCCCTGGACACTCAGTGAGTGATTTAAAAGTGGCCATCCTTTAACAAAAATACATCAAAAACAGACTTCAGAGAAAAACTGCAGAGCTTCTATTCATTTGAATAGGCACTAGGCATGACTGGAAAAGCAATCTTCCCTCTCTTGGCACTTACATCTCCTCATCAAGGGTGTATCTAGACTACAGAGCTCCGTTGACGGAGCAATGTAAAGTAGTTTACCCGACATAGTTAGTGAAGCGGGTATTTAAATAATCCCCACTTCGTTAAAATAAAAATGGCTGCCGCGCTGTCCCGACAATTAGCTGATCCTGCACAGCGCGGCAGTTTAGACGCGGATTGGTCAACAAGGGAAGCCTTTGTCAACTACTCCCTTATGCCTCGTGAAATGAGGTTTACAGGAGAAGTTGACAAAGGCTTACCTTATCGACCGATCCACGTCTAGACTGCTGCTCTGTGCCAGATCAGCTGATTGTCAGCACAGCGCAGTGGCCATTTTTATTTTAATGAAGCGTGGATTATTTAAATCCCCGATTCATTGACCATGTTGGGTAAACTACTTTACATGGCTCCATCGACGGAGCCCTGCAGTCTAGCTACATCCTTGATGAGGAGATGTAAGTGCGTCGATGGATCCATGTAGTCTAGACACACCCCAAATGTTGGGCTATGTCTACACTATGGGCTATGTCTACACTTTTTTTGAAAAAACTTCACCTGCATCTAGACTGCCATTGCGTTCTTTCAAAATTAAATCAAAAGAACATGGCAGTTTTTTCGACAGCGGTAAACCTGCTTTTACGAGGAAGAACGCCTTTTTTCAAAAGAGTGCTTTTGAAAACAGGCGTTCTTGAATGTAAACAGGGTTTACTCAAAAGAGAGCATCCAGATTGCTTGGGTGCTCTCTTTCAAAAGAGCGGATCACTTTTTTGAAAGTCTTGTGGCTTCCTAGAGAATCTCTTTCGAAAGAGGCTAGTAGTCTGGACCTACCCTTGGAGTGGGTCACATCCACTCTGACTGAATCAGCCTCATTAGCACTGGTCTTTCACTTGGTAAAGTAACACCCTTCTTTTCATGTGCTGGTATATTTGTGTGTCTGTAATTTCCACTCCATGCACTGATGAAGTGGGTTTTTCCCACAAAATCTTATGCCTAAATAAATCCTGTAGTCTTTAAGGTGCCACAGGACTCTTCATTGTTTTTGTGGCTACAGACTAACATGGCTACCCCTTTTATACTAAAAAATCTGGGTAGCCATGTTAGTCTGTAACTTTAAAAACAATGAGTAGTCCAGTAGCACCTTAGAGACTAACAAATATATAAACATGAGCTTTCATGGGCAAAAGTTCATGATACTATGTACAGCCTCTCTTCAACTTACAAACTGGTTATGGACCAAGCAATTGGTCGTAGCTCGGTTTGTTTGTAAGTTGGACCCCATAGAGTTACATGCGACTGCGCTGTTTGTAAGCACGGATTGCGTTTGTAACTCGGGGTCCGCCATTTACGACAGTTTTGGTTGTAACTGGAAATGGTCGTAAGTCGACCGTTCGCAATTCGGGGACCGGCTATATATAATTTTGTTAGTCTCTTAGGGTATGTCTACCCTACCCCCCAGTTCGAACTAGGGGGGGTAATGTAGTCATACGGAGTTGCAAATGAAGCCTGGGATTTGAATTTCCCGGGCTTCATTTGCATAAAGCCGGCTGGCGCCATTTTTAAATGCCAGCTAGGTTGGACCCCGTGCCGCGCGGCTACACGCAGCACGGATTAGCTAGTATAGCCGCGCGGCACGGGGTCCGACCTAGCCGGCATTTAAAAATGGTGCCGCCCGGCTTTATGCAAATGAAGCCCGGGAAATTCAAATCCCAGGCTTCATTTGCAACTCCGTATGACTACATTACCCCCCCTAGTTCGAACTGGGGGGTAGGGTAGACATACCCTAAGAGACTAACAAAATTATATATAGCCGGTCCCCGAATTGCGAACGGTCGACTTACGACCATTTCCAGTTACAACCAAAACTGTCGTAAATGGCGGACCCCGAGTTACAAACGCAATCCGTGCTTACAAACAGCGCAGTAGCTACTCATTTCTTTTATGTTAGTAATTAGTACAATTACATAAAAATGTCAATCAAACAAAAACATTAAACAAGCATGTTCTAAGCAGTTAGTTCTGCCCCTTTCTTTCCACACAACAGACCCAAGATATAGCTAGACTTCCTGGGGGTTTTTTATAAGACACAATTTCAGCAGTTTCAAAAAAAATGTAACAAGAAGCCATCCCTTATCCCTTGTGCAAGGAGGTTTACTGGAATGGCAAAATAGCGTGCACTTGTTATTTCAAAAAATATTTCGAAATAACAGGCAGCTTGTGTAGTTATTTCGGGTTATCTCCAGTAACCTGAAATAGCTGTGCAGTGTAGACATACCCTAAGTGACATGACAGGAATAGAGAAATTGCTAGAGAGCAAAGGGACTGTAAATCAGGGCTGGTCTACAGTAGGAGCTTAGGTCAATGAATTCAGCATTAGGTTGAATTTGTAATGAGTGTATTTGCACTGCTGAGTCCCTCCCATCTAATGATAGGCTTTAAAACTGACACCTGTCCTCCACCTGAACCAGTGGGGTAAAGCCCACTGCCTTGAATTAAGGGCAGTGTAAACACTGGGTATGGTAATGAGAAGTTACTGGCCTCCAGGTGATGCCCCAAAGGGCTCCAGTGTGACACTCTAGTGAACACTATGAACTCCACAATGTTCTTCTGCCAGGCAAGCAGGAAAAGCCCTTGGGTAACTTTGGAATGGTTATTCCCCATTGGAGCAGTGTGGAGAGTTTTATCAGAAATATAGTTCAGGGCCATGCTTAAAAATGCTGAGTGTGTGTGTGTAAGAGAGTGAGACAGAGAGGGAGAATGCTTTCAATTGGTTATAATTTTCAATATACGAATTGTGTAATGAGTTTAATGTACCATAATGATCTGTACTGGTTATGTTTATTACAGGCATACAAATGTTTCTTAAATTGCTTCCTGCAGTATATGGGGGGAGAGAAGAATGTGTAGAAATTCTGAAGAAAGGCAACTTATTGGGTGTTGCACCAGGTGGAGCTCAAGAATCTTTCTTTAGTAGTGAAAGCTACAACCTCTTGTGGGGTAATCGCAAAGGTTTTGCTCAAGTGGCCATAGATGCAAAAGTGGTGAGTAGTTGTCTGTGTGTTGATGTAAATGTGTTACCCATGAATTGTTGTGTGCTTTATCACTGACTCTCTTTGTGCTTGAAAAAAAAAAACTTTAAAAGAGCGGTCCTGGAGCACCTTAGAGACTAACAAAAAATATAGATATTATCATGAGCTTTCATGGGCACAACCTACTTCTTCAGATGACAAATATGGTGCAAGAGGCACAGAGGGTCAGTTATAAAGCAGAAAAAGAGGGAAGAAGGGAAGGAGAAAAAATCCCTGTCAATTAAAGGGTCCATGCTAAATGCGGCTAATACAGTGGGATGTAAGTGTCAGATATTTAGATTTTGATGTCGTTTGTGTGTTGAATATAACGGCCCATCCAAGAGAGGTCTGTGTTCAAATGTGTCAGATTTGCATATGAAGGCCAGTTCCACAGTTTCTCTCTCTAGTTGGTTCCTGAAATTATTCTCTCATGACTGTTCGTACAGATCAAATAAGGTTCATTAGCTATACTTTAATTTCTGGTTCTTTTCCAAATCTGCCAATCCCTTGCTCTGTTCCCCAGCCAACGCTGCAGAGGAAGCACTCCCCATGCAGCACAGCGATGCTGTTGGTGAAGAGCAGCATGGCCAGGAATAATGAGTACAGGGTGAAGGCCATCCCCATGGCCTCCATGTTCAGCCCGGTGCTCTTGGGGTGGGGCCAGGACATGGCAGAGCTGGGCGGGGAGCACGCCACATGTGGAGGCCATGGCCTTCCATGCTTGAGTCAGATGTGAGTCTTTTATATCCATTAGCTATAGGACCTGGTGAGACACCTTCTCCATATGCCCAGAACTATGAGTCACCTTGTTACCTTCTGACTCCAGCTAGAGGAAGAATTGTTTGTGCTTAACTGGATTTCAGATCCTTGACAATGGTTGTCAAAGCATGAAGATATATAACATTTTTTAGCACATCTGGCATGTAAATATCTTGGACTGCACAAGAAATACAATTTTTGTTAAGGCGTAATCTACACTATAACAAAATATCAGAACTTCTGATCTAATTCGTGTGTCAGATAAATCTCAGGATCAGAACTAAGGGGAGGAACAAAATTCTACACCATGCTATGTAGGCGGTTGGCACTCGATCTATAAAAATAATGAAGGAGCTGTCATAGTGTAAAGTTTAGAAAGAATATTTGCTTTGAGATGATACAATCTCAATATGTGCTTCAGAGAGAAAACTTCAGAGGAAAATAATTTTCTGAAAAGGTACAACTTCTTAAAAGTATTTTAAATATTAAGGGCATTAGAAAGCAAGCATTCAATTAAACAAGGTCATCTTTTCTTCTTGCCCTCTTCCCTAATATTTGAAAGAGTTTCATAATAAAAGTGAGACTCTTAAATTGCATAGTCTATGTATATTTTCTATAGGAATTTTGCTGCATTTTAGTGTCTGCTTGCAAGATTTTGTTACCAAAATAATATCTATGTCTTGATGGTTATTTGTCTAACTCCCTAGTACTCTGACTTCTTAGGCACTGAAAAAAAAATGCTGAATGGACTCACGAAATTTTTAATTCTGATATCTGTGGTATTATTTTTTCTAATAAGTATTATTCTGTCAGTGTTGTTTTGGTGTTCATCATGATAACAGTAACCTGTGATTTAGGTATTAAGAACTCTCAGAAAATGGAGCCTAACCCTGGTACATATCTAACTATAGATGTTCCTGGCAAACATGTGACTCCTTTTGAGTTTCTAGTAATAACTTATCAGTTTCATTTTTATTTAATGGAATGGTAAAGTTGACTATAATCAACATAATGTAGATGCAAAATGTATCTATTCAAAGATGATGTAAGATTTAAAAGAAAACAAAAAACCTGAGACTGAACTATTGTCCAAAGTCTTATCTCTTCTTTTCTTTATTTCTTAGCCCATCATCCCTTTGTTTACTCAGAATATTCGGGAAGGATATAGAACACTTGGAAACATGTGTAAGATTTACTTGATATGTATTTTTTCAAATTCATAGACTTATATTTATATTTTCAAAATCAACTTTCTGGGAAAAGCTCAGCTTATTCATTTATTTGAGTCTTTTGTTCTCTTTTAACTATGGTAACTGTTTATCATGATACAATTCTTTTGGGTTATCTAATCTTAATATATATTTATTGGATTAGGTATTAATTGCGCTTTTCATAGTGACACATTTTAAACTAGTACTTGGTATGCATGAGGTAATACACAGAAAGATTATTATTTTCAAGATTACATGCTCTGCATATTGTTTGATCTTCATGTTTCCTTTGTTAACCAAATCACCTAAAATTTGTTAGTTGTAATCCAGGTACCATTTTGATTCAGGGACTCTGCTAGCTTCTAACATTATCTACTATTTCTCAAAATGTAATCCCTCCTTTTATAATTCACAGGGTTTATTAAATGGTTAAATAAACGTTTTCAATTATCATTTGTCCCTGGATATGGAGGGTTTCCAGTCAAACTTCGCACGTATATTGGAGACCCTATTCCCTATGATCCAAATATAGCAGCTACGGAACTAGTTGAAAAGGTAAGTTGGTTCTTCTCTTTGAAACTTTGGGAACCTAAAGTCTTAGTTTAAATTATGTTAATTAGGTCTGAAGTATCTGACATCAAATTTTGTATCTATTGATTTCTTATGAAGTAAAAACTTTCTTACACTGCACTGGTTACCTTACGTAGTCTACTGTTATTCAGTAACATATCTCTGGGGCTACATCTACACTGCACGGTTTTTGCGCAAAAACCCATAGGGCACTCACACCTCAAATACGCTTTTGGGCAAGGAAATCAAGAGTAACACAGCAGAACAGAGGGTTTTTTTCTACCATAAGTAAACCTCCTTTTACGAGGCATAACTCCCTTTTGCACAAGAGTTCTTGTGCAAAAAGGCAAGTGTGGATGCTCCAGAGTGGTTTCTCGTGCAAGAAACCCGTATGGGGAAAAAGCACAGGTGCTCTGATGGCCATTCTGTGAATGGCCATCAGAGCTTTCTTGCGCAAGCGTGTCCATGCAGTGTTTGAGGTGTGGACGTGCTCTTGCACAAGAAGTTTTTGCGCAAAAACTCTTGTGCAAAAGGCTTCTTGTGCAAGAAGCATGTAGTGTAGACGTAGCCTGGCTGAAATATCATTTTCTCCTGACAACATTATCTTACATTGTTAGATTTCTCTATAGATTTATGCATTGTTCTGTTTCATCATTATCCTCCCTGGCCTTCTCTCTCAATTCTTTATGCCATGTGTTTCTCGACTGAGTTCTGAGGATCGTGTGCTGATTGTCTGTGATGAGTTGCCTGATCCTGGCTGTGCACCTTATTTCCAGACAGTAAACTGTCTCAAAAGAAGCTAAAAACATCAAATTATTTATACTGAAGTAAATTGATAACTTTTACAAATGTCCACACAAGGCTCTGGTGTCCTAATTAATAGTGACATAATTAATATTATAATAACACCCCAGCAGTGTTAAAACAATCATTCAAAGAAAAACTCTGCCAGCCTTCCACCCACCCACAAAAGAATGTGTTCTTTCCACACATTCATAGTTCCAGATAGCATATTTCAGCCCCCTCCCAAAACTTTCTAGGCACATTGCCAGACATCTGTTACTTGGGCTTTTGGAAGGAGGCTGAAGTACGCAATCTGGAACTATGAATGCGTGGAAAGAAACTCTTTTGTGGATGGGTGGCAGGCTGGCAGAGTTTTTCTCTGAACAATTGTTTTAATGCTGCCAGGGTTTTATTACAATATCAGTTATGTGTTAGGGCACCAAAGCCTTGTGTGGGCATTTGTAAAAAGCTATTAATCCAGTTAACCCAATAGTATAGAGCCACAACAATGGTGTGAGTGACTGATGGAAGAGCAGCAAACAGCAGACAACCCAGCTACAGCAATTTCAACAAAAAAATTGGCAGTAGTGGGCCACATTGCAACAACTACAGATTATGAATGCAACAAAATGGCAACACAGCAATAAGAATTACAACAGAACCTTGGCCAAGAGTTGTTGATGACTCTACAGCCTCTTGGGGTAACTAGTGGCTTGGTAGCAGGGGCTGTGAGCCTAGGGCCTCTGCTCACACCTGTATCTATAAAAGTGCCTCAAATGGGGCCTAACAACCACTCCTAAGCCTTCCTGACTACTTTTGAACAGGCAGCAGTGGTCGCAGAACAGTAGGTTCTGGTGTTGGCCCCTTACCAGCCTTGTGCAGCCTGAACAGGCTTCTGAGGGCTTGACTCTGTGTCTGCAACTGATTATAAATTATTTAAAGCAGCCATCCTTACATTAGTGAGGAGACACTCTGCCACCACTTCTGGGTGGAGACATATCCCCAGAGAGCTTGACCACAAGTGAAAGCCCAAAGACAAGAAGGAGTATTCATGGTTGCAGCTATGGCAGCAGATAGGAACCCAGCTGGCCAAGTTAATAGTGGGAGAGCAGTTCAGAAAAAACCTTCTTCCTGTTGATGCATGTGCATTCTGAGGAACTGCTCAAGGTAGTTGGGCAGCTGAAGGAGAATTTTATGGCCACTGAAGAGCTCCCAAGGATAGGAGAAGGGGAGACAACTTGTAGCTAAAATGATGACTTTATCTGAAATTCTGTTACTCAAGAATGAGTATCCTAATTCCCAGCCACTCAGCTGTCAGGACAACCACGGTAACTCTGAGCAAGACACAGTAACAAGGGATATGTCTACACTACAGCGCTAGTTCGAACTAGGCGTTAGTCCTCGTAAAATGAGGTTTACCTAGTTCGAACTAGCGCTGTAGTGTAGACGTACCCATGATGACTTTATCTGAAATTCTGTTACTCAAGAATGAGTATCCTAATTCCCAGCCACTCAGCTGTCAGGACAACCACGGTAACTCTGAGCAAGACACAGTAACAAGGGATATGTCTACACTACAGCGCTAGTTCGAACTAGGCGTTAGTCCTCGTAAAATGAGGTTTACCTAGTTCGAACTAGCGCTGTAGTGTAGACGTACCCATGATGACTTTATCTGAAATTCTGTTACTCAAGAATGAGTATCCTAATTCCCAGCCACTCAGCTGTCAGGACAACCACGGTAACTCTGAGCAAGACACAGTAACAAGGGATATGTCTACACTACAGCGCTAGTTCGAACTAGGCGTTAGTCCTCGTAAAATGAGGTTTACCTAGTTCGAACTAGCGCTGTAGTGTAGACGTACCCATGATGACTTTATCTGAAATTCTGTTACTCAAGAATGAGTATCCTAATTCCCAGCCACTCAGCTGTCAGGACAACCACGGTAACTCTGAGCAAGACACAGTAACAAGGGATATGTCTACACTACAGCGCTAGTTCGAACTAGGCGTTAGTCCTCGTAAAATGAGGTTTACCTAGTTCGAACTAGCGCTGTAGTGTAGACGTACCCATGATGACTTTATCTGAAATTCTGTTACTCAAGAATGAGTATCCTAATTCCCAGCCACTCAGCTGTCAGGACAACCACGGTAACTCTGAGCAAGACACAGTAACAAGGGATATGTCTACACTACAGCGCTAGTTCGAACTAGGCGTTAGTCCTCGTAAAATGAGGTTTACCTAGTTCGAACTAGCGTTTTGCTAGTTCGAACTAGGCGTTAGTCCTCGTAAAATGAGGTTTACCTAGTTCGAACTAGCGCTGTAGTGTAGACGTACCCATGATGACTTTATCTGAAATTCTGTTACTCAAGAATGAGTATCCTAATTACCAGCCACTCAGCTGTCAGGACAACCACGGTAACTCTGAGCAAGACACAGTAACAAGGGATATGTCTACACTACAGCGCTAGTTCGAACTAGTAAGTTCGAACTAGGCTTAGTCCTCGTACAATGAGGTTTACCTAGTTCGAACTAAGCTCTCCGCTAGTTCGAATTAAGGGGCTACCCACCCCTTAATTCGAACTAGCGGAGCGCTAGCGTAGTTCGAATTAACTAATTCGAACTAAGTTAGTTCGAACTAGCGCTGTAGTGTAGACGTACCCATGATGACTTTATCTGAAATTCTGTTACTCAAGAATGAGTATCCTAATTACCAGCCACTCAGCTGTCAGGACAACCACGGTAACTCTGAGCAAGACACAGTAACAAGGGATATGTCTACACTACAGCGCTAGTTCGAACTAGTAAGTTCGAACTAGGCTTAGTCCTCGTACAATGAGGTTTACCTAGTTCGAACTAAGCTCTCCGCTAGTTCGAATTAAGGGGCTACCCACCCCTTAATTCGAACTAGCGGAGCGCTAGCGTAGTTCGAATTAACTAATTCGAACTAAGTTAGTTCGAACTAGCGCTGTAGTGTAGACGTACCCATGATGACTTTATCTGAAATTCTGTTACTCAAGAATGAGTATCCTAATTACCAGCCACTCAGCTGTCAGGACAACCACGGTAACTCTGAGCAAGACACAGTAACAAGGGATATGTCTACACTACAGCGCTAGTTCGAACTAGTAAGTTCGAACTAGGCTTAGTCCTCGTACAATGAGGTTTACCTAGTTCGAACTAAGCTCTCCGCTAGTTCGAATTAAGGGGCTACCCACCCCTTAATTCGAACTAGCGGAGCGCTAGCGTAGTTCGAATTAACTAATTCGAACTAAGTTAGTTCGAACTAGCGTTTTGCTAGTTCGAACTAGTTTTTAGTTCTAGATGCGTTAGTTCGAACTAGCTTAGTTCGAATTAACTTTGTAGTGTAGACATACCCTAGGCAGGAAAAGCCTCAGCAGGTCTTTTGAACCTTGGCCTCATTACTGGACGATGTTACCCGGAAGGCAGAGGTAATAATTGCTGTGTGCAATTAATCAAAGCCTAATGCGCCTCCCCAACAGAAGCCAGATTCGACCTGGTATCCGTATCTATCACCGGTAGAACGATTGATTCATAAACAGGCCAGACACAAATTTAGGGCCAAACCATATATTTTAGGAAGAACAAACACGCATCATCAACACAGCCAACAACAATAATTGTCCCACCCTTACCCAGAAGAGAAAGAGAAGATAGGAAAGGTCCCGTAAACAGAAGGTTATACTTTACAATAAAATGGTGATAGACGCCTGTGACCTGCTATCTTTTGGCTATTTGAAACCCTCAAGGGAGGACAACAGGGAGATCCCTCGATGATACACGGGTCTGGATTCCAGAGCGGTCTGGATCCTCGCCTTCCACGTGCTGGTGCTCAGAGTCAATTAGACACCAGTCCTTGTCTGAATGTCTGTATGAGCGAGACTTGCGATAGTATTTCCCAAAATCCAAAATGCTGAATGGGAGGAGACTTCCCTCACCCCTTGAAATGGCACTTCTGGATACAGCTAATCCCGATCAGGTCACGTGGCAGTGGATGGATAGACTCCTCGGGGTAAGTGACGACGACACACACAGACGGACGAAGGAGAACCAAACAACATGAACTCTCCTTAGGGGGAAGCTTATAAAGAAGTCGAGGCGGGAAAATGGGTTAGTGAGAGCGGTGCATCAGAGTGGGTGGTGTGCACAAGAAAAGAGGGTTGTGTGCAGAGAAAAGATGTGCATGCATGACATAGTGCAGAGTGCAAAGGCCTAGAGCCGTGTGCATAGGTGACAGGGAGGAGTGCAAAGCCTTCTTCCCTGCGGGTTTTTGGCAGGAAAGCTGTTTGAGGGAGAAAAACTCCTCAGACTCCATTTTGGATCTTTGCCTAGGGCAACAACGATGCTAACACAGATGTGGGCACCAGACCTCAGTAACAGCTAGGACCGCCATTATGTGAGAAAAGAGGCTTAGGCCACAGTATGGGGACCTGCTGCTGTTGTGGGTAACTGGAACATATTTGAAGGGAACGCTCCCTTATGGAATACAAATATGCCCAGTGTGGACAACAGAAACCAGGCCAAGGAAAAAGGGGCTTCCAAAATCACCATCACCATATGGATCCTGGGGATGAAAATACAAAGTTCTTGGACTCTAGATTCAGTAAGACTCCAACAAATTCCACTGGTGCAAACTCCTTGGCTATGACAGAAGCTACCCCCCAGGGGAGACTGTCTTCCCCTAGTGCATGAACAAGGATGTAAAGACCTACCATGTCAGACAAATGCTATTGCCATGGGACAACATATAGACTCTTCTACTATCTCTGTCCGCAGAGCTAGCCTCTCCCATTATTATGGATCAGGATTAGCAGCACTTCCAAGAAAATATCAGTGAGCTGGGAAAACCAGAGACCATAGCCACTGATCAGATTCTAGCACTCGGGGCAAATAGCTGGATGAGGAGAACCTGAAAAATCTCTTGAGGGGGATTTGAAGACAATAGGACATCCACTTGGTTTGCAAATGGGAAAAGTATCTGGGAAGCTGCCATTAGCTGATGTAGAAGCTGTGGTTTTGTCCATGAACAAAGAGAGGACCCTATACTGAGTCGGGCCTACAAAGACTTTGCTGTTGTAAATGAAGAAGTGGCAGAATCCTGATGCCACTTATACTCAAGGAAGAGAGCTGTGTCACACTGAATGCAGCCAACCAACCAACCAGTGTGGTAAGGGCACAATTGCAGGTACCTTGATTGTATCACTAACCACCCTGTTGCTAGGACATGACATCCCTTGTGCTGGCCATGTAGGCTGAGAAAATACCTTGTCCTGCATATCTGACTGACTTTACTAGTGTGGTAACAGAGGTCAGAGAATACTATGTCTCTTGACAGTATACCAATTAACCACCACAAACGGCCCTTACTTCCTCCAATTGAGACTCCCTTCCAGAGGATTGAGATGGATATTGCGGGATCCCTGCAGAAAAGTGCTGCTTGGCACCCATATATTATAGTAGTTGCAGACTATGCAACCTGATACCTGGAGGCTAGCTCATTGAGCTCCACAAACGCAACACCAGTTAATGCCCAACTCGTGAAATGTTACTTGCCACGGCAAAAATGCTGCTTTGTCAGTGGGAGCTTCCCAAAGAAACCTGTTTGGTCCCAGCCATGCTCCAGCCAGCCATAGAGTTACCAGGTAGCTTCAGAAAAAATACCGGACACACTTGATCAGGAGGGGAAGGGGGGAAGGAATCAGCCGGGAGGGGAGGGGGCTGGCCAGGAGG